AAGATTATCTTTGCATGTTCGGTATTAGTTCTGGAAGAATTCATACGCAAAATATGTTTGCGTATAGAATACAAAGATAACGTTGTTTATATTTACTGCGGTGTTTATATTAGTATGCATCGATCGTGCGTTTCGTAATTAGGTCGCGGATTTTTATGCGTTTATGGGAAAACGCAACCTATTAGAATATTTAACTTAAATTTGGAACACTTTTCCAAAATATACTTAACATTGAAAGAAATCTTTGCGCAGATTCCAGTTTTTTAATTACCTTTGTAAAACTGAGAATTTGCATAAATATTTGTAGATTATTTATAATGAGTGATGCGATTGCGTTTATAGGTGAGAGTGGAAGGTGCCATGAAGAGATTAGAGAAAGAAAGTTTCAAGCATCTATACGACAGAGAGCCCTTGTTTTGCAAGATACGATCCCATATATGCAATCAAGGACGCGATGTCAATTGGGAAGAACTGAAGCAACGACACGATGAAATATTAGACTCGGTTCGTAGAGGGGAGAATGATTTACCGATGCCGGATCATTTGTAAGTTTATCTAAACTGTACAAATAATCAAGTTGATAAGGAATATTCAATATTTAAATATTCTTCCAGCGTTGGATATAAACTCTTTCCGACGATGATGGAATTTTATTTCGGGGGGGATTGTCTTATAGCCGATCGTATTTTATATCAGAAAGGTGCATCGAACGATTCTTGGGAGAATCATCATATAGCTGCATAATACATTAAATCGACGACAGCCACGATCTTTTTCTATTTGTTTTGTAATAAGATTTTAAAACAATTATTTCAAACATTATGAAGTATTACTTCTAAAACCCAATCGCCATATATCCGATCCTTCTTTAACCAATTTTCACCGATTATCGAGCGCTCATAGCCGAGAAATGAACGAGGAATGAATTGCCCGTAGTCTACAAGGAATTGGTATAAAATACATAAAATTACGTAAGCGTAATAAAGAACAAAAGTAGAAGGAAGAATCAATAAGATAAGTATATCTCTGTTAATTATCTATATAACCATAATGAAACCATAAAATCAAAAATCAACAAAACGAATGTAGATACTTGTCGCGTTTTTCTCCTGTGGTTTTCATATATGTACCATTAACCGAGACCGAGGCGGATAATTCTGCATGAGACTGATGCATTTAGGCGCGCGTTTCAAATTCAAATCCGTTGAGGAGCTGCAACATGGCGCTTGCTCTGATTGTAATATTCCTGAAATCAAAAACAATGTATCGGACTGATACAGATCACGTGACATGCGCATAGAATCGTACGCGCAACAAGCGGGTGGACAGTTAGACACCTATCGGCTGGAAGCAGATTTCGTGGCGCTGCGTGCAGGCCTTAACCAGGCTAAACGATCTTATACTCATGAGGCATGACACTCCAATACCTGATACTCAACGTATAAAGCGTATCTACGACCCATAGTATGAGCAGTGTTCAGCGGGTCGAGAACACGCTCGGTACTCCGTGAAGAGTTTGAAAAATGCCTGAGCGTGCGACCGTTTCTAATCCTATATCTAAAACAGTTTATCTTTTACTCGAAGATGGTTCTGTCTTCGCGGGAAGACATTTCGGCGCGGAAAAACCGGTTGATGGTGAAATAGGTGAGTGTCGGAACACGTGCTCGTCCATTGGGTTGAATATGTAGCACGTGCACGATTCTTGTAACGATCGCTTCGACTGTCGTCGTCTCCCTTTCGTCGTACTTTTCATTTTAATTAAAGCATTATGATCGTCGTCCCTTTTGACTACCATATGATTATGTTTTCACGCTTCGACGAGAAGAACGATATGCGCCTTGTGAAAATGGATGATTAAAGAGCCACGTGGGACTATTCCATAGCATGTACTAGCTTATCGTTTACTG